TTACCCTTTTTAATTTTTCATATTTATTTCCTATCTTATTCATAGCCTTTTCCTTTTTTGTTTTCTTTAGGTCACGAGCAGTTGTCCAAGCATTTCACTACATATCGTACTGTGTATGACTGTGTACGTGACAAATAAAATTTGAATTTGATTTGAATTTGAAACAATCGAATGAGCTTTCACACAGTGAAAGCCAGCAGCCTCAAGCAATTAATCATCTGCACATTTATTGTATTTTTGTGTCAAACTTTGGTGGCATAAAAATTGCTACTGTCCAAAAAATTTCCAGTCATAGGTATAGTTTTGAATCTTCAGGCACGTTATTATGCATTATATTTAATACAGAACCATTATTCTATGTGGTTGATATGACATTGCGAGAGAGAATAGTTATTCTTGTAAAGTGTCAGATTTATGTTGTCACTGGTCTTTGTTCTGTCAAGGGGCACTCTCATCTTTGCTCAAACAAGAAGGCTATTGTGAAAATGACAGCAAGAGCACGACAGATATATATCTGTGAGTTGAATTAAATATTCCAGTCAGAAAAAGAGCATGGTAAAAAATCATTTTGGGTAAAAAACTGAACAGCAAAATGTATTTGTGTACAAGAGAATGTTGGTAAAGGTTTAACTCCACAGAATGTTGTATAACATAACAAAGCCTTGAGCAAGTCTGTGAGAGAGGCAGGAAGCTAATAACAGTGAGCAGACAGAAGAGAGGCTGAGCACCCATGATGTCATTGACTGTGCTTGTCGGTACTCTCTCCCCCTCCCATTGCCTTCCATTTCTCCTCGCCTCTCTGCATCCTTCCATCCTTTACGTAACTGTCAGACAGCCTGGGAGTGGCAGGAAGGAGGAGAGGCAGAAGCGGAGAAAGAAGGAGGAGAGGCAGAAGCGGAGAAAGAGATCAAGCAGCTGTTAGCAATTCCGGATTTGGCTAACTATCCACACAGCATCCTTCCATTTAGCAGGTACATCTTATATTTTTGTGATTTAGTGCTTTACTGTTGTATCATTTAGTATCTGCAGTGCTGCAGTGAGAGGGCAGTAGAAATAATCTTGAAAAAAAATATATGGAAAGATTACATGTAATAATAGTTTGATGTATATTTTTACACCCACCAGCACTGGTAATTATTATTATTATAATTATTATTTTTTAGGATTATTCGTAAACTGAGATGACGCCATACTAAAATGCATTAGTTTTAAAGTGTTCATTGAAACATTTTCTGTGCTATTTGTTTTTATGGTTATTTTTATATGCAGTGAATATTTAATATAAATTTCATATCAGTGTAGCTCGATCAAAAGCCACATTTGGTAACACTTAACTCATGAATAAGTAAGTGTCAGTGAGTGTGATGGAGAGACGGGGCAGAAGAGAAGGAGAAGGAATGTGTTTGTTCATTCACTATAGACTGAACAGCAGAGAAGCCATTTGGAAATTGAGTTGATTGAATTAAATGGGCTTGAGCGCAGTTTTAGACACACTAGCATAATGATGAATACACAGTAAAAGTGTGTGTGTAAGACAGAGAGAAAATTAGATGCAATATCTTGGCAGCTATGTCTTGGCAGGCCAGCAGCCAGTTAACCTATAGTTATTACTTTAAATTTTTTTTACAAAATGTCTTCACAAAGGATATTTTATCCAAGCTATTTAAGGGCCTTTTTTTAGATTATTATTTTAATCAGGAGAACAAAGTGTTACAATATTTTGTATTTGAATTGACTAAAAACTGCATGTGTTCATCTGTCAGCATGGCCGAGGGTTCGGTGTCTCTAGAAGAGGTCAAGACTTCCTTCCAGAAGTTTGCAGTCCACGGAGACACAAAAGCTACAGGGAAGGAGATGAACGGCAAGAATTTTGCAAAGCTCTGCAAAGACTGTAACATCACTGATGGGAAGAATGTGACAACCACAGATGTGGACATCGTTTTTAGCAAAGTCAAGTAAGATTTCATTTTGACTTTGCACAGCAAAAACATAATGGTTTGAATGTATGTCACAATGTGGTTATTGGTTTTCAGTAACTGAACAGTCAATTTTTAGTTAGTGACTCTCTGTTGTTTTGGGACTACCTTACAGAATAAACTTCATGATTCATGTAAATGCAAAGGGTTTAAGACATCTCATAATCACATTATAGCATTGTAGCATCTACTCATTGCTTGTCCCTTGACAGTATACACTGCTCAAAAAGAAAGGAACACTTTGAAAATGCATCAAATTTCACATCATTGTGTAAATGATCAACCTACAGAGGACTGAATTCAAAGACACCATGAAAGTCAAGGTAAAAAATATGATGTAGTAGTTGAGTCCGTTTTGCAAGTTCATTGCAGCAATTATTGTAAGAATGGTACTCAGTAGTTTATTTGTCCCCCATGTGCTTGTATGCACATCTAACAATGTTGGGCTATTCTCCTAATGAAACAACAAATGGTATCCTTGGGAAATATGCTACCAGATCTGGACCAAGGCGTCACTGAGCTCTTGGACAGTGTGAGGTCCAACCAGAGAGCATTGGCTGGACAGAAACGTAATGTCCCAGAGGTGTTCTATTGGATGTAAGTCAGGAGAGTGTGAGGTCCAGCCAGTAGTATTGATTCCTTCATCCTCCAGGAACTGCCTGCATACCTTCGCCACATGAGACCGAGCATTGTGTGTGACAGTGGGTCCAAAGATTTCACCTCGATACCTAGTGGCAGTCAGGGTGCTGTTGCCTCGTCTGTCGAGGTCAAGGTGAAGTTTATTTATATAGCACATTTCCAACAGTTCATGCTGCACAAGGTGCTTTAAAAACTAAAATGTAACAAAAATAAGTAAAATGCATGACAATGATGCAAAAAAATATGAAAAAAGAGGAATAAAACAGTAAGACATTAAATGCAACTAAAACAACTACAGCTAAGGTGGTTAAAAAAAATAAAATAATATATGGGTCAACGTGAGCTAAAAGCCTGTCATTAAAAATGGGTCTTTAAAGATTTAAAATGTTCCATTGTTTGTGGATATCTTATATTTAGAGGCAGACTATTACAAAGTGTGCGACGTGCCACAGAGAAGGCTCTGTTGCCATGAGATTTATGTGTAGACTGTTGGATAACATTAGTTTTGAATTGGACTTCATGTTTCTTTCTGGACCATAAATAAATAGGAACTTAGATAGGTAAGAGGTAGCTTGGCCGTTAAGTGATTTTAAAGCAAAAAGTATAATTTTAAATTGGATCCTGTAAGGAACAGGAAGCCACCAGCATGAAGAGGCCAACACTGGGGTTATATGCTCGAGGTCTTTGCGTCACATCCGTAGATCAGACAATCACTGATCCTCCACTAAAGCAATCATGCTGAGTGATGTTAATTCAATTCAGTTTTAAATAACGCTAAATCACAACAGAATGTTGCCTTAAGGCAAGTTTTATATCGTAAGGTAGAGATCCTACAATACTACAGAGAAAACCCCAACAAATGACCACCTCTGAGCAAATACTTGCCAACAAAGGGAAGGTGTGCACGGGGTGCCTGCCAATCCTGGTATTGTACTGGAAAAATACCAATTAGGCTCTAAGGTGACAGACAGTGCACACAGGGGCCACTAGAGGATGTTGTTTCCTCTCATGGTTCCTCTTCAATCTCATGAAGACTATTTCTGATTGTTTGATCAGACAGGCAGGTATTAATGTGTGATCCTGGAGGAGTTGGAGTACCTGTGGAATCTCTGTAGGATCTAGATATCACCTCATGCTACCAGTAGTAACCCTGACCTTAGTCAAATGGAAAACTAGCGAAACAAAACTCAAAAAAAGATGACGAGAGAAAAAATGTCAGAGGTGTCCACCTGAAAAGCCATTCCAGTTTTGTGGGTTGTGTCATTGTTACCCATCTAGTGCACCTGTTGTTAATTTCATCAACACCAGAGCAGCTGAAACTAATTAACAACAACCTCTGCTGCTTAACTGACCAGATTAATATCCCTGATTAAAAGGTTTTCTGTTCATTATTTTGAGCAGTGTATATTATATTATTCATTTTGTTATTTCTCTCAAAATATAGTTGGCAACACTCTGTGTTTCCTCAGGGCAAAGTCAGCTCGTGTAATCACATTTGAGCAGTTTAACCAGGCCCTGACAGAGTTGGCTCCCAAACGTTTTAAAGGCAAGAACAAGGAAGAGTCACTTCAGCAGCTTTATGGTCTCGTTGTTGGTAAAGAACCTGCCAACATTGGTGTTACTGTGAGTATTAAGTCATAATAAACTCAAAATTTGCTGCTTAGAAGTCGGCAGCAACCAGCTACTACACTTATGCATCCCTTTAAACTTATATATGTAGTAGTAGTTTGACCCTCAACCATACAATTAAATTTAAACTGTAAAACAGATCATCTTAGGTAAAATTTGTTTAAGTGAGATTAATGTATTAACATGTTTTGTTCTCTTGTGTTGCACTTCCTATTACAGCTTGGTAATACAGTGGTAACAGTAGGGTAGCAAGGTGGAAACAAGACTGTAATAATGTGGTAATTTCTACCTTATTACAACTCAATCATCATAGTAATAACCACTTAAATTCCAAGTAATATCATGATAGAAGCAGTGGTTCCATGTATTACACTGAAATTTATGTAATTGGATAATAAGTGCCCAAAAACTAGGGGCAAGATTGTGGAAATACACCTCAGTTATAAGGTGATAATGATGCTACCATGATATTACAAGGATAGTAATTGGTTATTACCTTGGTAATTGAGTAGTAATAATGTAGAAATGACCACATTATTATGTTCTTGTTTCCACCGTGTCACCCCACTGTTATCACTTTATTACTGAGCTGGAATAGAAAGTGCTACTTGTTTTTGATGACCAAATCTTTGTGTAACTGTTTAGGTCACAAATCAGAAAAAATAGTTGACTGTCAGTGTGTTATTTTGGATCTAAAACTGGATTACCAAAGAAACTCTAGATACAAATCATTGCATCTTTAAAAAGACACTACAATACAGAGTTTTTGTTTTACTGGGTTAAAAAGGGAAAAAATTAAAAAAAAAAGTTTATTATATCAGTATTCTGTCTTCCATTTATTTAGAAAGCTACCAAGGCAGCAGCAGTGGACAGATTGACTGACACCTCCAAGTACACTGGTTCACACAAGGAGCGGTTTGATGACACAGGAAAAGGCAAAGGAAAGGCTGGGCGTGAAGACATCCCAGACACCAGTGGTTATGTGGCAGCTTACAAGGGCAGCGGCACTTACGAAGACAAAGTGAAAGAGGCATAACACTGCTAGCCATTATTGTGTTTCACCAATAACTTAGATAGGGGTACTAAACAGAAGTTAATGCCTGTTTTATTTAGTTAAACAAAACAAAGTGGGAATTTCATGATGTATACAGCATGTACAAGTAAAAGTGTTCTGTGTATTTTCTGCTGGAACCAAAAAAGAAACTACATGCTTCATATTGTTACTCTGCTTTGCTATACACTGTGCCTTACTAAACATATAGCCGTTAGTGTGAATACTATGATACATTGCTATGCTCTGTTAATCATAATGCAAAGGATAAAAACATAGCTGGTATCAAGAATGGCGCTATCTCAGTAGCTTTTCATTTTATATTTCAGTGCCTTTGTTACATGACCAATCAGTGCCCATTATTTTCATCATAGTTTCATAGTATGAAATTAATAGTTTTTAACAGTTTATTTAGAAAAATGCAATAAGCATGAAAGAACACAGTGCAACACTCTTTGATTATTAATAAAAACAAAAAAACAAAAAACACCAAGCAGCGAAGAACAAAGAGTTAGATTCTGGTACTGATGAAGCTAAACATATGAATTACTTAAACTGTTTTTTTTAAACTTTCTTTGTAATCATAATGGGACCTTAAATCCTCCTATTACATCTCTTTTCACTATGTTTTGTCTTTTTAAGTTTAATGAATAAAGAATGCCCATTTTCACCATGAATGGAAATGTAATTTAAAAGATGTGATTGCAAATATCTAAATAAATATCTAAAATGCAAAATTTGATCATACATGGGAAAATAGTTCCTTGTTTTACATGTCCTGTAATGTAACATTAGAAAACAAACAAACGAAAAGTCTGTAGGATCCTTTAAATCACAATTGGAACATATAGTACTCAGGAAGTTATAATACGTACACTACAAATGCAATATAAGTGATATGTAAAATATGTATATTTTACAGCATGTTTCTAGAAGAGTATGCCTGTGTGTTAAATAAAAGCAATATTGAGTAATGTGCTAGTCATTTAAATGTTTGAATAGCAAACAAATACAAATGCAACACATTCCAAACACACACACACACACACACACACACACACACACACACACACACACACACACACACACAGCTATCTTAGTGAGGACCTTCATTGACATAATGGTTTCCTAGCCCCCTTACCCTGAACCTAACCATAATCTAATTGTAACCCTGACACTAAAACCACATTTTGAGCTTCAAAAAGCCTTTAAACTTGTGAGGACCAGTGAGTGTGTCCTCACAAGTGACTGTTGGTTCTCACAATATAGTAGAATGCAGCTGTCAGTCCTCACAAAGATAGCTAGACAGGAACACACACACACACTCAAAAGCTCTTTGTGAGTTTTCCAGCTCTGTGGAGGTAGAAGACAGGATAAGAGCCTCCAAACCAAATCATTAGAACATAACTTAAGGGCTTCCAGATCCACAGTGTATCCCAAACTATGTTCCAAGACATGTAGGATATAGTAATCAGTGGTAAATGATCAATAACTGTAATCACCTGTAGAATCAAGATTATGTATATAAAACACCCAGCACGCCCCTGCTGGCGGTTTATCCTTCAAGCTCGGGTCCTCTACCAGAGGCCTGGGAGCTTGAGGGTCCTGCGCAGTATCTTAGCTGTTCCCAGGACTGCGCTCTTCTGGACAGAGATCTCCAATGTTGTTCCCGGGATCTGCTGGAGCCACTCGCCTAGCTTGGGAGTCACCGCACCTAGTGCTCCGATTACCACGGGGACCACCGTTACCTTCACCCTCCACATCCTCTCAAGCTCTTCTCTGAGCCCTTGGTATTTCTCCAGCTTCTCGTGTTCCTTCTTCCTGATATTGCTGTCATTCGGAACCGCTACATCGATCACTACGGCCGTCTGGGACAGATATATATCACTCACGACCCATGTTTGGTCTTTATTGGACCTATTTCTTAAGGATGCGACTTTCAGATACTGTTCACCTGCTTTTGATTTCCTGCCTGCTCTTTCTTCTTCTGTCTTCCATTTGTCCAGGTTCCTAAGAGTCTTTTTTATTTTATTTTTTGGAAAAACATGCTGAAATATGCCACATTTTTAGCTAATAGTTCTTTGGTGCAAAAATACTATTTTAGTCATTTCATGCCATTTTATTCTACATTTCATGTGGATTTCCTGTAACTGAATGAGAGAGTTTTGTAACAGGCTGTTGGTAAAATTCCTAAACATCCAATTAAAAATTGCTTCTTTGTCAAGTTGTTGGTTGTACAGTGTAGGGACCGTTACTCAAAAAGTAATACATTGCAAATTACTTGTTACTCTAAAAGTAGTGTAGTAAGTCACTTACTCACCAGACAAAGTCATATGTTACACTTCTCATAACATTACTTTCTTGCTAACTTGTAATAAAACCAACAACTCATTATCACATAATTACTAATTAAAATCATAAACCTTAGGCTACAGTCCCTATGATACAAATCCCTATTATAACACAAGTAACGACATATCTCGACGACTTTATGTAATTAATTACTGAATTACAGTATGAATCGAAAATGTAATGTGATTACAACCAACACTGGTTTTGTAAAAGCAACACAACCTTTTTCATGCTTTATTCATTTATAGGTCAGTATTTGGCTTAACAAACAAAAAATATATTTCTGAATATGGTCAGGTGCAAGTGCTGGACTGAAAATAAGTGAAAAGGAAGCCAATGTTCAAGGAATATTTTTGAAAGAACTTTAGAAAATCCAAGAGAACGACTGCTCAAGATCACAAATTGAAAGAAAATGCAGAAAATGCAGGATGGAAGCCACATATAAAGACGTTTATTTGTTTCTAGTTGCTTCCTAGAAAGACTGATAGGTACAAATAATTGAAAGTACAAACCTTGTCTAGTTCTTGAAGATTATTTAACATGTAAAGTTGGAGCTGCATCTTTTATAATATAAGTGGGGAAAAATGCGCTGAACTGCATCCAAATAATGGCTATGAGTACCTTCCTGGCATGCAAAGCCTGTTGATGTGAGAACATAATTTGAATAAACAGGGTTTGGTGTTTTCAGACTTTGGCATAAGTGGCCACTTATAATTTTCCATAGAAGTATGTAAACGTGTGCAAGGGTTTAGATAAAACAATGAAAATACATGGATTCTTAGTCAAATTAAATTCTTTGCAATATACTCATAGCAACTCTCCGTGAAATAGTCTCCTACATCAGAATGGGTAAGGAAATACAAGAAAAATACTTGTGGTTCAATACTACCACAATGTAGGGACAAAAAACACAAACAAACAAAAAACAGAGTAAACAGATGAACCAGTTGAAACAGTTAAAATATTCATTCATCTTTCATGAGTCCAGCAAGTCAAGATGCTGCAGAGATGCAACAGTACTGTGTAATTATAATTTTGTGCATGTTTTCCCACTTAACTTAAGACATGCATTCAGAATTACGATGTGTTAAAAGTGATATGTAAATATTATCTTTTTCTGACTTGGTAAACTTGCCATTGTGACTTTTACAGAAAAGTGACCAAGATTGGCAACTACACATGAAGTTGACACATTAAGATGCCATCAGATAAATAGAAAGGAGTGCAGGTCTGAAGAAGTCTATAGTGAAACTAGTACATGAAAGATCCAAAGAAGTGTACTTCATATAATTACAAAGCACTTATTTGTCCTCCTTGTTTTCCTTTTGAAGAAATATACCATGTGGTACATAATTCTATACAGTATAACTGGTATAATTACAGTCTCAGTCATTATATCCTCCCTTAGTTATGCTGCAATAGACATAGGCTGCCGGGGGATTCCCATGATGCATTGAGTTTTTCCTTTCCAGTCACCTTTCTCACTCACTATGTATTAACAGACCTCTCTGCATTGAATCATATCTGTTATTAACCTCTGTCTCTCTTCCACAGCATGTCTTTTATCCTGTTTTCCTTCTCTCACCCCAACTGGTCGCAGCAGATGGCCGCCCCTCCCTGAGCCTGGTTCTGCCGGAGGTTTCTTCCTGTTAAAAGGGAGTTTTTCCTTCCCACTGTTGCCAAAGTGCTTGCTCATAGGGGGTCATATGATTGTTGGGTTTTTCTCTGTATCTATGAAGCACCTTGAGGCGACTTATGTTGTGATTTGGCGCTATATAAATAAAATTGAATTGAATTGAATTGAATTATATGTGAAAAACAATGTGCAGCAATTTTATTTTTTTTCTTGAGTTTTTGAGTTCTGCTGAGATTGTCGAGAAGACTAACACATGCAAGCCAAATCATTACAGAATTCCCTTGGTGTTTCAGGGCTTTAACACTGTTGAACTGTAACCAAATTAATGGCCAAAGGTAATCTAGAACCTGTATGCAGATAATTTGAATAAAGATGATGTTTCTTAGCTTTTGTAGTGCCAAGATTTAAATTATAGTTTCCATGGAAAGTTTTAGAAGCATGGGGATAAAAATGCAGAAGAATATAATGAAAATAAATTTAAGTGAAATTTATATTCTTGAATGTATATTTTCTGTCTTCCCTGACTATACGCCCGCTCCTTCTTTAGCAACACAGAGGTTGATTGAGCAGATGAGTGGCCATATTAGAAGAAAAACTCCTAAAAACATGGACAATCAAGAAAAGACCATTTTAGAAGTGTTTTTAAGTTTCTGTTACAAGAAAAAGAGAATGTAGGGGTTTATGATGATGATGTCATGATTGAACATATCCATTGGGATACAAGAAACTGTTTGTCTATTTGGCACATAGATGATGTTTTAAATTAAGTCACTTCTCATCCAGTCCTCTTTTGCTTTATTTCCAGTCCTAACCCTGTTATGCCTAATTTACCATCACAGTATGGTAGATTTCACATATTGTATCTCAGTATTAGGGCTGTTCGATATAAAGATATATATCGGATGACGATAAAAAAAACATCTATTGTTTCATTTTACGCTATTGTTTGTTTCGTGGTGTCGCAAAATAAACTGTTTACGGCATTATTTTTTCATCGTTTTGATGGTCACTGTAGTGGCTATATTAACTTCTTAAAGTTCTCTCTTTCTCTCATATTTAATATAACCACACTACAGACGGACAAGCACCTATTTTTATACGTTTACATTAGCAGCAATGACGGTAAAACCATCAGGTGTCTGCTTGTTTATTTTCCACATAAACCTTTCACAATAAAGCTCAAGATCCTGTTGAGACTTTTCAAGATAAATTAAATCACGTGAAAGAGTATGCGGAGCAATTACGGATGAGAAGCAAAAAATAGCCGTGAAGTGCTAAAAAATAAACCTTAGACTCAAACGTTAGAACAGGCTTTTCCCCGCAGCACGCCGTGTAATAAATACTCACAAAGAAAACGGCGGCTGTTACAACTTATGTCTGAAAATGTATAGTTTCATCTGTAAAATCACTCAACTGCAGGTACACGACGCCCAAATGGAAACGCTTCATGCAAGTCGAGCTGCCCTAGATTCACAAAATTTACAGAAAATATTAAAATTTGGCGTTTTATATCGTTATCGGGACGGTAGATGTTTTATATTTGCATGTGAGATTTTGGTCATATCGCACAGCCCTACTCAGTATCATATCACACTGGCCCAATAAGTTTACCTTTTGAGATCTGTGAAACACTTCTTTTGCCTCAAATCATTTGGCTACATAGCTGCTCTGCTGCAACTCGTTGTAGCATTCCTTTTAGTATTTGCACAATAAATTATATATCTGAATGTACTTATTATTGCTTTGGATTCCATCATAGTAGCCCAGTATCCACATACATATCCATCTATTGTAGTTATTTATTCTATTTTTCTAGTAGTAATAATACAGAATACAGACTACTATGTAGTTTTTGTATTAATTTTTTAATCAACATATCACTATGTCACAATCACATCTACTTGAATACATTTCTTTGGAGTATAAAATATTTGTTTGTATAAGTAAAACAATGCAACAGACCTCAGAATACACATG